ATGAGCATGTTAAACTCCTAGAAAGATTAATCTAGGTTTTTAAGCTTAAAACTTGAACAATATGAGATTTTAAATAAATTTGCATATTGTTATTTGATATGGAGTAATTAAGGCTAATCTTTACTTTAGCAATTTTATATGTATGATTATACAGTCTTTAATCATGTATCAACGGCATAATATAATCATGTTATTTTACATATTTTTATTATGCTTGTTATGGATTAATTGATGTTTAGAGTTATCATTTATTTTATCGATTATTGGATATGTGGATTGTATGAACCGATATGGGACGGTGGCATACTAGGGACGGATTAGCTCAAAACGCTAAGTCCTACCTATTCTTGTATAAGGGAATGGATTAACTAAAAATGTTAAATCCTACTTATATTCGTGTCAACTCAACTGAATAAGTTGAATGACCTATCTGGATTATTTATGGATTCGTGTCAGCTCAATTAAACAAATTGAATGACTTATCTGGATTATTTTTGGATTCGTGTCAGCTCAACTGAACAAGTTGAATGACCTATCTGGATTATTTATGGATGGATAGGATAGATTTTATATACATATAGTTATGGTACCACGATATGAGCTTGAGTCTCAGGATCGATGGTTAGGGAGCATATATGCAGTGAGATGCATAACTGGCTATGATAGTTGTGGTGTACCCTGTTAGGTCTAGGTACTCATGCCCACTTCAAGTACATTTTGCATGTTGCCTACTAGTCAGGTTGAGACCACTTTGTAGTCCAGTGAGAGTCCCTTAGTATGTGTATATATATATATATGGACTATTTAGTTATTATTGAGTTGTCTATGATGTATTTGCGTATCGGGTCTCTGTTTGGATTGTAGTAGAGTAGAACTTACTCGTGGACCTGACTCACTATTATTTTTCAGGTGTTTGACAGTTCCAGTCTTAGAGGTTGTTCGCACCGAGCAGAGACAGTCACTCAATCTTCCGACTACATAGGATTTCCCTTCATGGTTTTAGCTTTGGATTTTATTTCAGTTATTTACTTTCAGTTGGGATTATTGTTAGGGGCCCACTAGATGGTTTCCCGAGTTGTGATAATATTGTAGATTTTATAATTATTGGATTATATAATTAGTATTTCAAGGATTATTATTTAGATTATTTTCAGCTTAACTATTTATTCTTTATTCTTTTTATACTCATGCTTGTTTATATAATTAATTGTTTGGTATCCCTTGGATTTGTGCTCGGACTTGATCACCCGTGGCTCTAGAATCGAGGGGTATCACACCAAATGACGCCGCAGGGTTACCAAGGGTTAGGAACAGTGGCCAATCCTTCTCTCGTGTCGCCAAGGGGTCACCGAGAGACAGGTTACGTTAACGGTTTGAAAAGTGAAGAAATGGATGAGATTTTGAAAATGGGAAGCAACATAGCACGGTATTGCATTTCATGGCACAACATTAATTGTTTTTAGCCTTGAAATTGTATTGTATTCTTCCTCGGTATAGCATGATCCCGTTTCCTTTATTTATATTCATTGTTTGGATTTACAGGGTCACAAAAAGTGTCTTAGGCACCACCTACTAAGCAATTTGTTCACCCCTTTATATTAACATTTTTCAGGACACGGATGCGAAATGGCGGACGACGATCCACCACATGCTTAGAACGGATTTGAGGCCTTTGTTTTGTAGTCTTTTGTATATGGAGCCATACTCTTTTGTATAGAATCATGTCATTTTGTATTGCCTTAGTGTATTTTGGATGGTTGTGTAACTAAGGAACTTGTGACTATCACCATATCCATGGATTTTAACTTGATGTATCCAAAGCTTAATCTTTGTAAATGATTTTGGAATAATGTAAGGATTTGTAACTCTAGGTTTTGGATGAATTGTAATTGATGGGATGTTATATACGTTGTTTTTGCATTGTGTTGGGACAGGTTTAGACTTGGATTAAGGTCACAGTGGGACCAATGGGGTACCTAAGTGTGCAAATGTTTAACCTTAAGCTTTATAGGGCATTTTTTTAGTTTTTGGACCTAGGGAACCGGTACCTCATCTGGGAACCGATTCAAGACTTGGTTCACGTTTTGGGCATTTTGCCCATGTGGAACCGGTACCAAGATTTGGGAACCGGTTCCAGCCCTCCAGTGTATATTTTTGCCTTGACAGTGTATCAGCTTTGACCGCCTGACTTCGGACGGTCATAACTTCTTCGTTCTAAACCCAAATAAGGTCATTCTTGAGTCCATTTTCAATGATTTTAAGTTAGTTTTCCAATGATACCAACCTCATCCCCAAATTCCATTCATGTTGAGAGTTATAATTGTTTTGGTGAAGTAGTGTCGGGATTCCCTTGAACCGGGTAAGGGTACTTTTGGAAAATCTTATCCAATGACCGTAGAACTTCACAGAGCATCATTGAACGATTAGAACGATTGTTTTAAACCTCATTTGATTAGTTTAAGGATGGATTACCCTTTCACATTGTAAAATGACCATTTTACCCCTAATGTGTCATCGGGTTTGGTTAAGGACCCGATTAGCGATCCGGACCTCCAGTTTGGGTCGTTACAAAACACCCCCCCCCCCCCCCCCCCCCAAAGACTATTTCTGCCGTGGCCCCAAGGAATTGCTGACACCTAGGAGGAATTGAACTTTGAGACCTAAAGCTTCATGAGGCTCTAGGGCCTAAGTCTTTTCCACTAGGCCAACCCCTTTAGGTTTAGAAGGATGTTATAGTTGGAGAGATAAAAGGCTAAGAACCACAAATATTTTAGAAGGATGCTCCATTTGTTTCACCGTAAAATATTTTTCGGAAATCATTTTCCTGTGTTCAGGAGACTCTAAGGTTAGGAAATTATTTTTTATGTAAATCATTTTACCCCCAAATGACTGAAAATGATTTACCAAAAAAGTTTACGTAAGTCATTTTTCACAGACTACCTTAGGTCATCTAACCATTCATATTCTTATTGAACCTCTATGTCTCTTAAACAACTAATATTTTTCAGTTCTCCCAATCTAAAAATGTAATCTTCAATCTTCAAGTTGGTCGAGGAACAAATTTGGGTCGAGAGCATGTTTTGTTATAGAGAGAGAGTAGAGAGAGAAAGTAACGAGAAGGAGATGTGAGATATATATTGTGTATTGGCTAATTTCGTTGTCAAAACAAGTCTAATCGAGTTGTAATTTTTCGGTTCAAAATTTCAAGATTGAATATCGGATGCGGATTTGAAGAAATTCAAGTGTTCATATTTTAATACACTCTGGGATGATGAGAACAATTTAGAAAAGTATGTGAATGTGTGAGAACACTTAGAAAGATTTAGAATGTTGAAGAGAATAGCAAGTTTCACTTCTGTGCATTGGGAACCGGTAGCCACATTGGGAACCGATAGCCAACTGTTGTTCAAAAAGGGATTCTTCACTACCCTTCTTGAACCGGTAGCCAATACCTCTACCATTAACCGGTAGCCAATACCTCTACCATTAACCAGTAACCAAACTTAGTACCAGTTTAAGGTTTTCGATCATGAATGGTAACTTTAGTTTCCTGATCCGTTTTTATTCTTTTTTGGTCCAGACTTTCTTCTAAAGCCTATGAACGAATTTTACTTGTTTTACAAGTATTCTTAAGTCTTCCAAACTTTTATATAATGCATCTTTCATTCATAATTGAAGTATGGCTATGAGGAACAAAAATTCATTATTTTGAGAAAGCCTTTAGAAAGATAATTTTCAGAAAATCAAATCTAATTTTTCTAATTTTATTTTTGAGAGCACACACATATATTCATGAGTGATTTAATAGTGTTGTTCTCTACCCCATCGGAATTGGAACTTAATTGAAGATTCAGAGATTCCGAAAGAGCAGTTTTATTTCTTCTACATATAAGTTCAGATCTTGAAGCAAAGAAGTGAAGCGATTACATTTTGAAAAAGTTAAAGCATTTAAGGAGTGTTGTTTGATCTACCAATAATCCTTTTACAGAGATCAAAAGTAAGTTTGAGATCAAAAGCTGTTGGACAAGACGTCGCAAAGCCAGAAGATTGTCAACAATTGGTGTTTGGTAGAACGATAGGGTATGAGCCTGAGTCAAAGTCCATTGTACTTCGTTTCAAACATAGTGGATCGATTTATTTTGGACTACACAGTCCACGAGGTTTTTTCCCACAACAATTGGCTTATTCTACCAATTGGGGTTTCCTCATTAAAAATCTTGGTAACATCTCTCTAACTCTACTTGCTTTACTTTTCAGTATTTATCTTTGTGATTGTAGATGGTTAATTAATCATATTGCTTAGGTAATTTAATCAATCACAAAAATTGGGCAAGTTATCCTAATAATCTCATCTAGGTCATTAAAGGAGTTAATCACAATTAAATCAATTAGAAACTTCTGCACCGCGTAACTTTTACAAGAGAGGGAGGGATGGTTTAGGGTAGAGAGAGGGGGATGGTTAAGGGGATACTATTCATTGTTAATGAGGAACATAGAAGAAAGAGAGAGAGAGAGTGTGTTAACTTCTGGGTACCATTTCCTGTTGGTGAGGATCACTAAAGAAAGAGTTAATTGTGCACAAAAGTTAATCTAGAAAATATTTTACACACCGTCGCCAAACACTTAAAAATAAAAAGGACATTTAAGATGAAAATATTTTGTTTACGAGTCTAAACCCCAACCAAGAGTCAGGCAAAAGAAAACCTAAGAGAAAATGAATCAGGAAAGTGCCACAAGAATTGTTGCAGAGATCAGTAAAACGGTGATTTTCAGCTCAGTTTGTATGAACTCTTCTCCATTAAAAGAAACAGAGTCATCCATGAACACACAGAATTAAATAAAAGAAAAGAAAAACTAATTACTTTTTTTTTTTTTCTTTTTTTTTTTTGTAAACTAAGCAAAATTATTATTATTATTATTATTATTATTGTGGGGTGGTGGTTGTTAATGAATGCTAAATGCTGATAGAAGCAGAATATAAATTGAGGTAGTATTTTTACCCATTTGCTATATTGTTTAAATCCCACCCGCTTAAATTTGCTGCCTCCACCAAAGCTTCCCTCCATGTTTGCACCTTTTCCTTGTTCTCGCAGAATCTTTCTTCATGTTTGGCAAAGGCTTCTGCGAAATTCCCTGTCTGTTTCCGTACTTCTGAAGGATCTACGTTGTAGAAGACAGGCAAAACTGTTTGTCCATTCTTGTTGCATTCAATGATCTCCGCCAATTCGTCCAAGCACCAAGAAGAAGTAGCATAACTTTTTGAGAAAACGACGATTGCAAATCTTGATTCCTTAATAGCCTTGCGGAGTTCCGGAGAAATTGAGATTCCTTTCTCACGTTTCTCATCATCTTTGAAGGTGTAAATTCCTTTCTGTTGCAGAGCCACGTAGAGATGGTCCACAAAGTTTTTGCCAGTGTCATCGCCCTTGAAATTCAAGAAAACATCGTAAATCCATCGAGTTAAAGAAGAAGATGAGGAAGAAGAGGCACCAACCGCCGCCATATATTGACAACTTTACTAATTCGTGAATGCAAAATTACTGTGTGTTTTTATGATACTTCAAGATATATATCTCTCCCCCCTTTTATTAATTAAATATTTTCCTTCCTATACACACTACTTTTTTTTCTTTTGGTCGAATATATACTTTACTTTGGAGGATGGATGCGCATAAAATGAAGTTGCCGGGAACCATTCATGAAATTTCAAAATTTTTTATTTATTTCTTTTGGTTGCGGTGGGTGTTACCCTCCACATTAATGCAAGTGGTTGGATCTTTTAGAATGATAAGAACATACACTGTGCGGTGATGATAAGATTGACTAACATAGTGCCGCTCAATTTCAATTACTAGTCTCTTGAAAAGAAGTGAAAAGGAATCTACACCACCTTTTAATTCCAACTTTATACTTACCAAAAAAAAATAAAAAAAAACTGCACCACCTTTCTAACATCTAATTGGTGGTCCAAGTCCCTACCAAAGTTAAGATTCTTTTGCCTAAATTCCAGTGAAAGTAATTTCAATTTCGCTTTTTCAGTAGGCCCTGTCATTTAGTAATTAGTGCCCTAATATTTAATCTCATTGCACAGTCCTGAATATGAGTTGGGAAATGACATTTCTTATTTAATAATGTTGGACTATATATTACAATATATTGTTACAATGTATAAGTTGGGTGCGAATTCTCTACTGTAAGGTTCCATGCAATAACTTTTAAGTGGTTTATATTTGGTTATATCATTCTTCAGCTGTTAGACACTGGGACCGTATTTGGTCAATTATACTAACATTTATAAATAACATTTCACCATCATTTATAAGAAACATCATAGGAATCTAAAAAGTAATATCACCATTTGTAAAATGACAATATCACCACTTAAATAGTAAAGGTTATTGACCGCTAAATTAACAAATTAAACCATCTTCACTCTCAAAATAAGGAATGCACATAATACAGACTAAGTAATGTTACATATAAACGTAACTCAATTCAACATATCATTTATGTTATTATTTAAAATTAAAGTATTTTAAAAACACTTTAACATGCTAATTTAAAAGATTTAAACCAAAATTAAAGTCACTTGAATTAATTTTAGATAACAAACAAAACACTTAATGTTTCCAAAAATAATGAAAAGAGTAACATCTTTTTTTTTTTTTTTTTTTTTTTCCAAATATTAAAAAAAAACATACACTTAGATATAAATTATTTAACATATCTTTCAAAAAAATTTAGCAAAGTTTAATATTAATTGCCACATTCACTATCTTCACCATCAAAAGAAAAAATTTGACAAAATTTAATATTAATTGCCACATTCACCACCTTCACCATCAAAAAAATGTATTTATATAGTGCTGAAAAACTAATAGTCATACATAAATCTAACATAATTCAACATGGTGATGTTATATATATACTTATATATATTCAGTACCTTAGTCTCAAAGCATTCTTAAATATATATATATATATATATATATATATATATATATATATATATATATTACTTAAGTGGTGATATTTCATTTTAAAAATAGTGATGTTATTTTTTAGACTCCTATGATGTTACTTATAAATGGTACTAAAATGTTACTTAATGGTGGTGTAATTGCCAAACACGGACTTAGTGTTTGTTTTATGAAGAAATACGTGGCCAAACCAATGCTACAAGATAGAGGACTGCACGAATAATTACATCAGTGGATTTGTGCCCGTATAAGTTTATCATATAAAGTTTAGATTTACCATATAGGATTTACCTATATAAACCCTTATATATTCTTATATTGTAGAAATTAATACAATATACAATTCATCTGTTTTATATTTAACATGGTATTAGAGCTTTTCGATCCCTGTTTATCAGTTTTATCGTAATCACTGCCAGGAATGGCACCATCAGTCCCATCCTCGGCGTCACGCTTCCGCATGCCAAGATATTCATATGCCCTGTCTAGGGAAGCCTCGTTGTCTAAATATTCCTCCAAGAAACCCAATAAGATGTCTCGTTTAGAGAAGCCCCGCCTAGGGATGTCCCGTATAGGGAAGTTTCGTTGTCTAAGTCTTCCTTTGAGAAACCTAACAAGATGCTTCATTTAGAGAAGCCCCGCCTAAGGATGCCCCGTATAGGGAAGCCTCATTGTTTAGCGAGGTACCTCGTTTAGAGATGCTCAACGTGTCGGATCAGCTTCGTCAACGTGCTACCATGTGCCTCAAGTGGTAATCCCATTCTTCCATGCGCTTCCACGCACACCAACAATAATCCCGCACCTCAACGTGTTAGATCAGCTCCATCACCTGCCACCACGCGCTATCAGTGGTTATCATACGCTCACACGTGCCTTCAAGTCATTTACCTATTCACGCTACGCACCTATCTCCAACACATTCTGCAACGGTGCCAGTAGTTGTGCCACATCAATTGCGACGCAATAGAAGTACCAACAATAGTGCCAAGTCAACTACCACTTTAGTTGTCATATCACTAACCATGTTAGTATCAGTGTCACGCCAGCTACATCAAGGTGAAATGATTATGTTCAAATTCAAGATGGTTTCATATAACCCACTTGACTTTTTTTTTCGGGCACGCCCGGGGGGGGGGGGGGGGGGGGGGGGGGAACATATGATTTAGATTTAGGATTCTTATATTATATAAATCAATACAATATGCAAGTTCTCTGCTTTATATTTAACACAATGAAAGTGTATAAACATGAAGATCTAATCAAAAGAATAAGATACTCATACAAAAACACAAATTAAACATTGTTAAGTCAAAACTAGGCTTATGTTCATGAATGAGATTCACTATAATTATGTAAAAAAAAATTATGACGGTATAAAATACTCAACACTGGACCGTACACATTAAACTCTTGCTCTAGAAATCTTTACCGTGCACCACTCAGCCAAATTATAAACCATCTCTGCAAGACAATTGAGGTAGAGGATCAGAGACCCTCACCCACCCATCAACTCCTCACCAAGCTACATCTTTCTTAATTTCTAAAGTCTCAACTATAGTCTAATTATTTATTTATAGATTTCTAAACACAATTCCTTCCAGGACAAAGATTACAATTTTTTACAGCCTAAGACTTGTCTAACAAAAATTTCTTAACAAAATACAACTTTAAAAAAAAATTCTGATTATACTGAATTTGAGAAACAATACCTAACACATAAAATCATGATAAGACCACTTTGAATTCAGAGAATGGTTGCCATTATGTGCATGTTCGTCGAACTAAATATTTTATTTATAAAATTGACATATATATAAAATTGTATATAAGCCAAGGTTAAATGGTGTCTAAATATAAACGCAATTCTATTCCATCGAAGTATTACTAGTTGCCAGCATAAAATTTTGAGAAAGTTGTTACAACATTAAGTGTCATTTATAAGATGTCATTGATTCAATCCTATTTTGGACACTCCTCGAGAACCTCAAAGACATAACTTTTACCTATGCTTTTATGAAAAAGCTAACAAACGTTATTACTTAATTTGGCTTATGTTTTGGTGCTTGGAACTGTATTTTAGAAGAGTTTTTAGTGTGAGAGTTTTTATCTGTTTTACAAAACATTTATTGAAACTCTTTTATGTCTCAAATAACTATTTCGCCCTTAGATGGAGTGTTTTTTCGGACAGTTTGGGAGCGTATAGAAGTTTAACCTAATTTTATACAACTATTTTTTAAACATATATGAATAAACCATTCAATATAATCAAATTTATCCCACAAGCCCTTTGTAAGCCTGTTAATGGAATGGATCCTAATACGGATCCGATCTGATTAGTCGGATAAGAATTGACTAAAAAATTCGATAACATTACGATACGAATCCAATAATATGTTAGCCTAACAAATCGGATATGATTATGCTGATCCGATCTGATAATAATCTGATCTGATCCGATCCGATCCGATAATAATCTGATTTGATCCGATCCGAATAAAATTATAAATATAAATAATTATCTATACATATCAGATTTGTATTAGTGTGATATACAATAGTATGGTGTTCTTATCCACATACCAATAAATCTACTAAAATACATATGGTTTATTCATTAACAAAGAGTAAATCATTTATTTAATTTTTTTCCATTCATATTTTACTTTATCTTTTGTTTTATATCTTTTACTTCTAATCATTGTTTTTTTAATTTTCTTTTGACATTAATTTTTATATATTTTTCTTTTTTTTATAAAAAATTATATTTTTATCGGATCAGATTGGATTATCAGATCAAATATTCATTTATTAACAAATCCGATTCAGATTAACTTACAAAATATCCGATGGATTATTGGATAGGATCAGATCGGATCAAGTAAAATGTTTATCAGATTTGGATCGGGTTAGGCCTAATCTGGTCCCAATCTAATCCGTTTACAGGTTTAGCCCTATGTATAATAATAAAAAATAACAATTACAAGATTGCAAAAACCTTTTGATGATTTAGGAAATTTTGTAATTAGATTTGGATATGCTGTTAAAAATATGGATGAAATGAGCACTTCTACCACATGAACCAATGAGACAAGGGTCAGTATTACATTAAGTTTATTCAATAAGTATTTGTGTTCCAAATTCCTCACCATCCCAACCAACATTAACCCAAACACTTTCTTGACTACATGTATCCCAACCAGTGGGTTGTGCTTCCTTACTCTTCCGTGGCAACCAAAATATTTTAACATTTTGATTCTATCCAAAATAATAATAATAATAATAATCATAATAATAATAGTATTAATATATTGAAGGTTTCCTTTCCTTCTATAACGAAAGTAGCCAATCTCATGTTTTATAATTAACTTCCCTAGAATCTAAATTTAACAGCTATGATATTGACATGCAAAAAATTTGTGATACAACAAAATCACTCACACATTTACCATGACTCGATCTCATGAATGAACTATTCTTTTATTTTGTTATTTTCACATTATTGATGTATGTTGAATATATAAAATTGATGAATGATGAATAGTACATAAAGTCCTATAAATAGATTATACATATGGTAGGTGAGAGCTATCCACGAGATGTGGTTAGTAGACTGTGTGGTACAAAAAAACCCTAACCCAAATCTGTAGTATAAGTAATACAAAAAACTATCATCCAACAGTCCATTCAAAGTCAAAATGGGTTATGTGAAGTCATCTTGAATTTGGAGAAAAGATTTTGAATATGGATTGGTGGAAGAGATTTGGTTAAGATGTTTAACCATGAAAAGCGATGGATTGCAAAGGAGGACATTCTGAAGAATGTGACATCAAACAAAGTGACAATCAATCTCAATGTATTTGACGTGTTTATTAAAAATATCATCATGTGCAATCTGAATTAAACTATTATTATCACAATAGATAAGAGTGGCAATGAAGGAAACCCCTATCCTGAAGAAGCCAATCTAACCACAAAAGCTTCGAAATCGTACTAGTAAGGGCTCTATACTAAGTGCTAGATCAAGTGACAACAGCCTACCTCATAGTACGCCAAAGAAGTTGGTTGTGGACACGAGACAACTTATAAAACTAAAAAACCACTGTTGCAATTTTAGTGGATGCCAACTTGTAATGCATGTGAAATAGAAATTTTAGACCTTTAACACCTATGATCCAACACAAATCATATTGCAAGGTTGCTTAGAACAAGAGACCCATCTAGTATCATTTTAATTCCTATACAAGCATATAAATTTAACATCTATTGCACCTAAAGGTCACTTAGGGAATTGTGAAAATGAAAAACAAGACTGATCAATGCTTAGAGAAGGTGGAAGAGAGCAAACTTTTTCTCTTAGAAGTTCCTCAAAATCTCTCTAATGAGATCAAATCAGGGGTTGAAAATTGTATGCAAAATGAAGAGTGAAAGAAAGAGGAGGGGAAATTGTGGCCATAAATGGGTCTTAGCTTTCCTTATATGGTCACCACCTTTGACTATTCAGAAATTAACCCCTTTACTCTCTAAAATCACATAACCCCTAAGCCATTTCAAGGAAATAACACAACGACCCCGTTCCACCGAGCACATGACTTTTAGGTCTCTCTCTCAAATCCCGAAAACTCGGTTTGTCTGAACCCGCAAGCCCCACCTCGGCATGTGCCCAATTTGGAAAAAAGAAAAGAATCCACCTCGAAAACTCATGGAACGAAACGGACAAATCCTGAAACACAAGGAACGAAATGAACAAACTCGGAACTCAAAAAAAAAAAAATCTGGAAAAAATCATGACCAATCTGTGATGGAATCTTTTTAAATAAAATAAATTCCAGGTCTCTACATAAATTAGTTGAAGTGTTCATGTTCAAATTTTTCTGTTGTAAAACACTGTGAGGTTGTACTAGTTGTACTTTACTTTGTACAGATTGAATAGGCTAGCTGGACTAACGAACCAAATTCCAAATTGCTATTCAATTTGGAATCTAAATTTTTAGTACTTCTGTTTGAATCTAAATTTTGTTGAGTAACTCAGTAATCAACTGTACAGGTAGAACATATTGTTGTACTATGCTTCTAGAGTACATTAAAATTAGTCTAGAATGTTACCACTAGAAAAAAAAAAAAATCTTGTATTAATAGAACCTTACCTACTTTGACAAGCATTTTGAGTCTTGATCTGTAAATCAAAAAGACCATCAATAAGCTTCATATCTTCTTGGTACGTTCACAACCTTTTATGTTTTACCAGGTCCTCTAGAATCGTCTGTCAATGACTCCATCCCTAATTTAAAATAATACATTGATGTGGAGTTTATTTTTTCACATATACAAAAGATCGAGTATCAAAATAACACCACACATAATTCTTTATACACAAAATAGCCCCAAAGTCCACAGACCATTCTCATTGCAACAAAAAAAAAAAACAAACAAAATTGACAACAAAAGTATCATCTAAAAGGATGCTGCTGCTCCACAATCACAATAAGCATCCTCACCACTCCTAACAAGGCCAAAGGAGTAACTAAAAGTCCTTGAAAGATGATGCCATTAACCTACAAAATTGCCATAATCAAACACATTGTCGATTATAAGAGTTTGGCCATATAGATGAATAAGATGCCAGAAGCAAACTAATTTTTATTCAAATTTCCTTTTCTTTTTTATACTTCTTATTCTACATAAATTTCTTATAAATTTTCATAGCTATTTTGATTAAGAGTACCACAACTCCATTATAAATTCAACAAAATAAGAAGAATAACACATTAACAAGTGAAAGGTGGGATCCTGCTTTAAATCTGTCTATTTTGCGCATAATGGATAATTCAAGATTATATTAATGATTGAGTAGTTAATTTGCATGATGAATTTAGGAAAATTAAGTTTGAAGAGAGAAAAAAAAAACTATCATACTAAGGCTTAATTTTCGAAAAAAATAAAAAAAACTATCATACTGAGGCTTGCGTATATCACTTGGTCTACTCACCTTGCTTTGATGTCTAAGCTTGCTCCTCCATTACTAGATGAATACCTAATTTATGGACCTTTGCTTTTCGATTGCTGGATGGCTTGAGTAGTGTGGAGTTCAATGTAACTGAAGCCTGAATGTGACAGCCATCACAAGCATTGGAAGTGCCTGTGCTGAGTGTAGATTTGTTGTCCATCAAACTTTTAATTGGCCGAATCTCTCGAGAGTGCTCATCATAATATTCCGTTTTGTGTTTCAAAAAGATGTGATGTGGTGCATTATCTCCTGCTGTTAAGTCATTGTACGTAAACCATTCGCTCATGGAATAACCATTGATTTTGAGATCAAAATTAATTTGTGGGATATCAATTCCATGAAATATTTCCAAAGCAGCACAGAGGACAATTCCTTTAACATTTTCGTAAGAAGGTAAATCCACCCGCAAAGAAAATGAAGAGCCCTCATTCCAATGACTAAAACAATGAGGAATATCTCTTCCCGGAAGAATGATTATACCAAGTTCCTGTTTCATACAAATGGTGAAGCTGAGTTTTAAACAAGCATGCACACACACATACATACACAATACATATATTTCTATATATAGAGAGAGAGAGAGAGAAGGAACCTGAAGCTGACTTTGCGATGATATATTTGGCATGTTGTCCCTCCCATCCACATCCAATTTGTGGCACCCTGTGAATATGAATTCCCGATCGGCTGGATTTTGTACACTTGGTGGGAATTGATACCGTTCCAATGATTTGCAACCATGCATATTCACATAACGTATAGATGATGGAAGTGATGTCAATGAACGGAGGCTTGTACAATGTTCCAAATAAAGGTACATAAGGCTTGTCAATTGAATGAAACATTCTGGTATGCTAGCAAATTTGTTTTCACTTAGAATTAAATAACGCATTGAGGATAGCTTGCCAATATCTTTCGGAAATGATTCTTCTGTTAGATTGCAGTGCCGAAGACTTAAACGAGTTACAGCACACAATCCAGAGAGCAGTTCCAAATCTAAACAAGTTGAATTACCAGTTCTCTTTCGCAGAAATGTATTTTGCATCACTGAAATTGGCATCTTCGAAGATGGTGATTGAAAAGCATTGCCACTGACATACAGTTCCTCAAGATTACTCAACTGTGCAATGGATGATGGTAACTTTTTAATAGCAGTCCTCCCCATATCAAGGTATTCTAAATCCTTCATTTTAGAAAAAATGTTGGTTAGAACACTATTAAGCTTTTGGCACCCTTCTAGAGATAAACGTCTAAGCCCTTCAAGATGCTCAATTGATGAAGGCAAATCTTTTATCGCAGTGTCGTCTAAATGAAGCTCCTCTAAACAAACCATATTTCCTTGAATCTCTGAAAGCTTCTCAAGTTTTGAGCATCCTGCTAGAGTGAAAAATTGAAGATTTTTCAAATTAATGCTTCTTGGGAGAATCCTCAGATTCTTACATTTAGAGAGGTTGCATCTAACAAGCCTCTCATGAACTCCATTTGACAAGTGAACCTCAATTAGATTTGAACATCCTTCAAGATTTAAATCCTCGAGACATGGGAGACAAGACAAATCAGGAATTTTGTCCAAATATAGGGAGTGACTGAGATCAAGAAATTTCAACTTCTCTAGAAACTGCTAGGCAAACCAGCAATGAAAGAAATAATTAGTTTAATCAATAAACCAAGAATACTATATACATGTATAAATTCTGCTAATAAATTGTGATCATACCTTGATACCCATTGATATTTGTTTAATTTGACTACGATGAAGGCGAAGGAGAACAAGATTTTTTGGATAGAAATTGGATGGAAAAAATCTTGCCGGGTAACCGTCCCAATCAAGATAACACAGCTCATGTGAAAGATATGTAAGATGTTCACAAGGTCGTATGCCATTGAGCTTGAGCAGCTTAAGTTTCTTCATCTTCTCAAAGGCATCAACATGTACACATAACTCCTCTAACAGAAGGCCATGAGGAATGTTTAGCATAATGCCTTTAATTGATTCTGTTGCCTAATAACCAAAAACATTTTGTTAAGTTTCCACGTACCGTTAAAACTAGTACTGTAAAAACTAATTAAAGTATGCAAGTGTACACTACAGCTTCTTTGAAAAAATATAAAACAAATTCTCTTGTTTTGCACAACTTGCATGTGTGGAAAGAAACTTATATGTAGTTAGATCATACCGTATTTTCTCTGAATACTTTATAGATATCTTCATGAAACCACAACCTACTACGTTTGCTGGGGTCGTCAACTGATTCTTGACGAACAATTTCCTTACCCATCTCTTGTATCAAATCATGCATCGAAAGGGTGCTGCAGTTTGAGATTACCAAGTTCCGTTCAATAAGAATTGAAATACGCGGGTGAAACCCACTACTGCCTAGTATGTCCATTACATAATCTATATCACACCCTCTAAAGAAACAAGCAATGTCGAGGAATAGATCCTTCTCTGTATCATTGAGGCCATCAAAACTTATCTTAAGAACTTCATGAATTTCTCTATTTGGAATTCTTTTCAAATTATCTAGTTCATGTTCCCACTCTTTTCTGCTTCTCTTAAATAAAAAAGAACCCAAAACTTGGAGAGCTAATGGAAGGCCTTGGGCATACTTTATTACACTCCATGAGAGAAACAAAAAATCCTCTGCAGGATGGTTTTTTGTGAAGGCGTGCCAACTAAAAAGCTCAAGTGCCTCATTGTCATTCAATAGGTCAACCTTGTATATTTCATGATCAATTTTATGTTCTACTAATAAACGTTCATCTCTAGTTGTTATGATAATTGTACTTCCAAAACCAAACCAATCATTTCCTCCTACTAAACTTTCTAATTGCTTCAAGTGATCCACATCATCAAGAACTACAAGAACCTTTATGTAACAAAGTCTTCTCTTTATCATACAGATTCCATAGTCAACATTAGATATCTGGGAATCTTCTTCCATTAGGATGTCATTCAAGAGATGTTTTTGGAGACAAGTTAGACCATGTTGTTTTGAAGCTTCTTCTTTCACATTGTTAAGGAAACAACAACTTTCAAATTGATCAAATATTTGATTGTAAACAGCTTTAGCAATGGTTGTTTTTCCTATTCCGCCAGCTCCACAGATTCCTACAATGTGCACATTCTTTGAACCATTGTCCAACAAACTAATCACTTTATTCGCACGGGAAACTAACCCCACTTCGTACTTGGCAACACTTAGTGGTATAGTCGACCCCAATTCTTTAAAAATCTCTTGAACAATTTCTTGGATAAACTTCGCCTCATGCCTATCAAGTACAAAGCACATTAATTAAGATGGTATGAAATTGTATAAAAGGATAAATATAAATTGAAACAACTATGATGGAACCTTTTTTTTTAAACTGTAACTTATAAATTGTCATATAATACTAAACACCAAATATCACATTGTCGTTTACCAAAACAAGAAAGCATAAATTCAAACTGGTAGAACTAGATTAATGCATCTTTAAAATGTTGATTTTATGTATTATTATCCTTATCATCATTGCCTTCTATCATATATATGCTAGGAAGCATGGACACATCTAAAAATGGGCAAAGAATCCGTCTTGGCACTGACACGCGTTGGGCACGCCCCAATATGTGTCGGACATGCCAAAATATGTATCTGAATTTTTTATTTATTTTTAAATATTCGGACACGTCATATTCTTGGGGATTTTTTTTTTTTTTGATAAGTACATTCTTGGGGAGTTTTAAGAAAGTTGTGTTGAAGTGTAATTAGGAGGAATTGTGTACTAACTTCCCAAAATATGGTAGTGATGACATAATTAATTAAAAGTTGTTTTTTATAAGGATATTTTATATTAAAACAATCATATATTTAGGCTTATATTTTAGTTCAAAGATTCAAACTCTTGAAAGGTGAACTTTGCTCTCTTTTTCTCCCACCGACCAAGATATTCGTTGTCGGTTGATGGTCCTCTCTCTCCTCTTCTTCTTATTTCCTTTCTTCACAAACCCTTAATACTTCTGTTTTTCTTTTCACAATAATATTTTACGTTGTTTCCATGAATTTCTTCTCTTCTATGGATTCTTACCTTTGCTTTTAACTAACCCCTAATTCTTTTTCTAACAATGCCCTAATCCTCTTGTTTCTTTCTCTCTTTCTCTTTCCCAACAAAACACAGTTTTTTTTTTTCATTAGTAGATTGATAAAAGATAATTTTAGAGTAGTGCTATTGCGAGAGCGCTCTCGCAAAAAGTCTAAAAAACTTGCGCTTATAAGCCACACAATTCCTATTTTTATGGATTTGAGAGATCCAGATAATTAATTAAGAAAGAATCATTCGCAATTAATGAAACAAATCAAGCTTTTTTCTCTCTCTTCTCTCCACGTTTTCTCTTTCTCTCTTTTAGTTAACACCCTCAACAAATCTGTCTTTTTCTCTCCCTTGATTAACCCTCAAAGAATTTGTCTCTTTCTTGCTCATAGTTAACTCTGTCTTTCAATCAAAGAGTCTCTCCACCTGCATTCCATCCTTCCTCGCTGCTGACATACTAGGTTCTCGTAAGTTGGACTTCATCTATCATGTTTGTGACTTTTATTCTATTTGAGAATTTTTTTTATTTTTTTATTTGTTTGCGTTTTTAAGCTTTGGAATAACCTCGTCACAAAAAATTTACATGCTATTTAATTCTATTTTGTCTTTTTTTTCTTTTTTTTTTTTTCATATATTTGAGCTTTAAAATAGCCTCGTCTTAAAAAATTCATGTGTTCAAACTAAGAGAGAAATAAGCAAATTGGTTGAGGGTTAACCAAGAGAGAGAAAGAAAGAACATGGACAGAAGAGAGAGAAAAAAAGGTTGACTTGTTTCCTTAATTAATTATCTCTCCCAAATTCCTAAAACTAATAATTATGTGGCTTATAAGCCCTAACTCTTTAGACTTTTTGCGAGAGCAATATATATAAATATATATATATATATATATATATATATATTATTTGTCGTATCCCGGTCGTACAATATCCGTGTCGTATCCGTATCCGGTATCAATTTTCATACTTCTTAGTATATATGTTAATATTTAAATAATCCTAATAAAGTAAGAGTGGATAATTTTAAAAAATATAAAATAAAAATATTGGTAGATAAGTCACAAACCCTCAAACCCGGGTTTATTAGTTTAAAATTTTAGTAATTTTGTTTCAATTCAAATTTCAATGAAGTGCTGGCAAATGCATCATAAGTGACACGATAAACATATTCATAAAATAAAAAATTATTATTGTTTACACCCTATCATAAAGTTGCAAGTTGTTGATGATGGATTATGCGTAACCCGGATTTGATCTGACTTCCTGAACAAAGAGAAAAAAAGGTGATCCTACAAGCACCGGTGTGTTAACGGTGGAGTAGGCTCCAATGAACAAGTCAGTGTGCGAAGTAATCTCTCTAAAGAAATCAAGAAATTGAGTTAGGGTTTATTGCATACCTCAAAACGTCAATTAGCCCCCTTTCTTTATAGGGCTTAGGTCAGGATGTCATGTAGAGTTACCGTCCTCTTCATCCTTATCGTAGTCTGTAAGTTTAATCCTTATCGTAATCTGTAATCCTTATCGTAGTCTGTAGAGCCTATCTTAATCTGTAATCCTTATCGTAGTCTGTAGAGTCTATCTCAATCTTGTGAGATAGTGCGTTAATTTAACAAACCGGAACGATAATTCCCAAATATTACATAATAATATATAGTTAGAATTGTAGAACCGTTCACCCCGTATTTTTACAATAAGTTGGTTTGATTATTAGATAGTAGAGCTTTGTCCATTAGCTTGACTCATATTGCCACTTCACGAATACAGTCGGGGGTCGAGCTGCCTGGTCAGCTCGCGGGAGTCCAGGGGGATAGGCTCTTGCATACAGTAGCGTGTGTTACTGCTAGCATGTTTCACCCAGAATCCAACACTATGTCAGACGAGGAACACCACCAGTCTGATTTGGCTTCGTTAGAGACACATCTAGTACAGTATATAGCAGGCTCCCTTACCCCACATGATCTAGATCGGATCAGGCAAACTTATTCAATTCTAGACAGTGTTGCTCTCAGACTTCCTTCACTTGATGATAGAGCGTCCTCCTTTTACCTAATTGAGATTTGTTTCTATGAGTCTGCTTTCATTGCTGGATTGCGTTTTCCAATCCCTCTTTTTATCAGGGAACTGTTGTGTCACCTTAATCTTGCTCCGACTCAACTCTCCCCGAATGCCTGGAGAACTATGATGGGTTGTTTAGTTCTGTAGCGAGCTTGTTGTAATACCTTGCTCACTATCTAGGAGTTTCTTCATTGCTACATTCCCAATAGGGGTGACTGGTTGTACTTCTCCCCACGGGATAGAATTATTATCTCTGGAATTCCCGTTAAGCACAAACCATGGAAAAACCATTTCTTTTTCATTTCTAGTGATGGTTGGGAGTTCTTTCCTGATGAAAGTGCTTTCCTGCGAATAGGGACTTCCATTCCTCGTGCATGGTGTAGTCAGAATTCCACTGGTGAGTTGTCTATAATGATACCCTCTTTGTTTTAAAAAAAAAAAAAAAAATTGTTTGAGTTATTAACAGAGTTGTTGTCCTCTCAGGCTTTAAAGAGATTGCCATTTCATTTAATGATCTCCAGCGAATAAAGGAAGCCTTTAACCACTCAGTGAGGGACTGGACTTCACTCGTGACACCTCAGACTTTGTTTACCCATGGGATTGGTCCTCAGCCTGTTGGCAAGTCCTCTGTAACTATATCCCAAAAACTTAATAAGAGGCTTCTAGCTCAGTTCAAAGAAGGCTCAAGTGACTTCCCACCTACTTCCCCCGCCAAGAGGAAAACAGAGAAGCCTACTATTACAACACAAAGAGTCTTACCTATTTCAGTTGTTTCTCCACATGTATCCGACTCGCAATTCCCTCATTAACTTGTGGATGAGACTAGGCCACTCCTTACTGAAGTAGGGGTACTCCCCTCAGACCCCTACTCTTTAGCAGCATCTGTTCTAGGCAATGCTCAACTTGCTTTTACGAAGATAAGTGAGTCTTTGTCGAAGGAGGATATGATGTATCTGAATTCTCGCTCTCTAACTAAGATTTTAAACCGGCTCATGCATGATCTCGCACGGGTTAACTCTCTCACCATCCTCTGTTTTTATTTAGCTTTTCTTTTCCTCTTAATTGTAACTTTTTGTTCCCATGTGTGTAAAAGTCAATACACACGTGTATTACTTATCGTGTCTAGCTGCAAAAGGAGGGGAGCATTATACCAATATGTTGGCTTCTACTTGCTCCCAACACCAAGCCAATTTACAATTGGAGTGTGATAAACATGAGGCCGCTCCACAAGCAGTGCGTGCTAAGTTAGAAGCAGAGCGAGCTTGTCATGCATCTTATATGCAAAAGCTCAACAAGGAGATGTCCCAGAAACTGATGGTGGAAAGATCCAATGCAGTTGATGAGTTTAAAGCCTCATCAACCTTCAAGGAGATTATGTCGAAGGCCTACTTTGATGGCTTCAAAGATTTTCGGAATCGTGCTGCGTCTGAATTTGTAGACCAAGACTTCTATGTCATTCAACTGGATGAAGTGAGTGACTCCGAATAGGATAAATGTGTAGCCATTCATTTATTTGCTCCCATTTTTCTCTTTGTGCTTGAAACTTCTCTTTCTTTGCCATTAGTTTCCATTTATATTTGTAGGGCTAATGAGTAGGATGGACAATTATGTTTTGCCATTGCGATTGTCGCATTATGTTATTTTCTATTTCATTTTATTGACATCTTTGGTCGGCTCGTCCCATTAATAAGGAAAGTAGATTAAGACGAGCTTTACTCAGTCTCTGTAATAAGGTAAGTAGATGAATACGAGCTTCACTCAGCTCACCCTTTAACAGGGAAAGTAGATTACTATGAGCTTCATCCAGCTCACCCTTTAATAAGATAAGTAGATTACTATGAGCTTCACCCAGCTCACCCTTTAATAAGAGAAGTAGATTACTATGAGCTTCACCCAGCTCACCCTTTAACAAGGGAAGTAAATTACTATGAGTTTCACCCAGCTCACCCTTTAACAAGGGAAGTAGATTAGTATGAACTACACTTAGCGCATCCATTTAATATGAATATCTTAACATATCAAAGTGATAATGAATTATTTGAAACAACTGATCCAAGTAGGGAATACTTTATTAAAACTAAAGTTGATAACAAGGCTATTGAAGACATTCATTCGTAGAGAATGAAACAATTATTGAAACTAGAATT